AAAAAAAAAAAAGTCTACACTTCATAAGTCAGGTTGTGCTATCAAAAAAGACCCAGGAGTTGATATCCACCAGACACGGTGGAAGATACAGCCATGGTGGGTATCTTGATTTATCCCCAGACAGTACTGAAGTCCAGGACCAAGAACAAAACTAAAGGGTGGTTGAAGGCATCTCACCTCACAGTTTCCAAAGGGAAACCATGACTCAAAAACATTCTGATAAGATCTCTGTGCCTGTAGAAGATAAAGGCAAAGAACGAATAAACATTTTTTTACACTACAGCATCAGGGAATTATACCTTGCTTTCTTCTCATAGAAAGTATTTACAAATAGAAAACAAATCTTTTTAAAGTGCCATTCAATACTTTGTCAAAAAATGATTAATCAGGCCAGGCAAGACAATTCTAACATCTCGAGGGATTACCTTTTCAAAATAAGACTACACCAGGGCTGGGCGCAGTGCCTTACACCCGTAATCCCAGCACTTCGGGAGGCTGAGGCGGGTGGATAACCTGAGGTCAGGAGTTCGAGACCAGCTTGACCAACATAGAGAAACCCCACCTCTACTAAAAATACAAAATTAGCCAGGCGTGGTGGCACACGCATGTAATCCCAGCTACTTGGGAGGCTGAGGCAGGAGGATCACTTGAACCCGGGAGGCAGAGGTTGCAATGAGTGAAAATCACACCCCTGCACTTCAGCCTGGGTAAAAAAAAGAAATTTCTTCTTTGGAAAAAAAAAAAAAAAAAAAAAATCAGGGGAAAAGTAGTCTCCTGTGGATTGTGATAACAATTAAGTGGCAGGCAACTAGAAAAATAATTAAGTGGCAGGTAATTAGGTGGCTCTAGACCCTGGATTTCTACTTTAAAGATATCTAACTCAAATGCATGTTTTCATAAATTACTAAACTGAGGGAAACAAAACTGAGGCTTAGTCAACAATAAACTAATTAATCTCTGAATACATAATCAGGAAATGTCCACCTTGATCATACAAATTAAGAAACTATGTAACTGCATCTAACCAATTACTGAATTTGGTTTTCTTTTTTTTTTTTTTTTTTTTGAGACGGAGTTT